TCGCCACCAACTTTGCTCTAAATGAAATCTGCAGCCACACCTAACCTAACCATTAAAATGCTGCGTGTTGTAATTGCTGACTCAACTTGAGTAGTTTAAAAATAAAGCGTGCACCCGAATTGTGTTTAATTAAAGTGATCAAATATCTCGGGATCAAACTTCAGTTTACCCTTTATTTAACACACAATGTTTCCTAATCATATTTTATTAATTACACGTGTTAATTTTAAGCTCCAAAGTACTAAAAAAAATATAGGTAGGTATATAGTAATATTATTTTAAATCATCACGTTAGTTTCATCTAGTAGCCAGTAGGTAGGTAATACATTGCGATATAGGAAGTGATCAACTTCAAATAAAATAATATCTATCCAATTGTATCACTTTTGTGATAGTAATAACTTGTGCAATGGTATAGAATTTAAAACTTTATCTAAAGCCTCACGCATATTATTTTGGATTAATGATTGATATGAGATGGAATTTGCATGTGAATATCTATTAAGAGGAAGACGTGATACCCGCATGTGTTGTCTCCGTCTTACAAGTGCGTAACATAGCAAATTATACGCAAAGCAGAACACGTGTAGCTCAGTTAGCTTAAAAATTAGAGTAAATTGACCTCTTATAAAATCTAAAGGTAAAATTATGATCTAGACATGCGCATGAGATTTGTATTAAATTTTAATTTTTAAGAGAGTTATAAGTACTTTAAAATGTACAAACAATTTACAATTTTAAAATAATCATAGCTCGCTTTAAAATAAAAATATAATAAAAATCCCATGAGGTTGTCTAGATAATAATCTTACCTTTAGATTTTATAAGAGGTCAATTTACTCTAATTTTTAAGCCAACGGAGCTTCACGTGTTCTGCTTTGCGTATAATTTGCTATGTTATGCACTTGTAAGACGAAGAAAACACATGCGGGTATCACGTCCTCTTAATACGTCATCGTATTTTGAGTTTTAACTTTTATAAGTTACACAAAATTGACCGATGCAAGTAACTATACCAAGCAATATGGACTGTTATTTATTTATTTACTTTTTTTTTTTGAGGGGGGGGGGGGGTCGATCAGTTATTGCACTATTAATACATCAAAGAAAAATAGTTCGTATGTGTTTAAAGGCTTGACTTATACAAATTTAAAATCATTTAATATAGGTTCTACCAGTGGACTCGTTATTCATAAAATGTACATTTTATCAATTATAACTTTATGAGTAAATAAAATAATTTAAATAACTGAATATACATAAATTAAATGGTAAATAAAAGAAAAACTATAGCTTATGATACTAAAATAATGTATTTCTAAAAATATTTCGGTCAAAGTTGTTGACAAAAAAAAAACATTATCTATTCTGTAAAAATTCTAATGCCAAAATGTCAGTTATCAAATTGTTAATTATATACATTGTGTAATAGAGATAGAACTGACTTTTGGAATAACTTTTGATCTAATCCATATTTAAATTAATTTATTTTTAAATATAACTTATAGCTACTTGCGCTACACGTGTAATAAAAAAATAATATATTTTTATTTTTTAATACTGAAAATAAAAAATAAAAATTTGATTTAAATTTTTTTAAATAAACTTTAAATAGCCAATTTGTAAATCTGATTATAAAAATGATTTGGATGGTAAAAACATTTATCTAAGTCAAGTAGTTTATTTTTTAGAATTGTTTTAAACTTCAATATTATTTTGATTAAATTAATTTGGTATGTAAGCAATAACTTTTTAAAAAATATTATTTTTGGAAATTTGCTAACATGGGTATATTTCTTAAACTATTTACTAATCATATAGTTTTAACAATTTTTGTCATGCGCTTATGTAACATAAATTTTTTTTTTTATCAGTTCTTTCTGTACACTCTGTATATAGTCATATACCATTAAGTGTGGGTATATCGATGATTATTCCAGATTCAATTTTATTTTAATTGTTTAGGTATTTATCTATATATAAATATGTAATTATATGTAAAAATGTAAAATTATCAATATATTATGAAACAGTTAATTTTATACCTTAAATACAAGCTATGCTTACAGAAGGTAGATAATTTAAATTAATTTATGTATTTAATTCTTTGTATTTTACTTTTAATTAAATAACGTTCAATTGAGGAGGTATACAATTAAGAAGCACTATAGAGCTTTATCTGTCTTTATATCTACGTCATAAAAATGTACTGGTATGTATATTATATATTATCTCTCAAATAATAAATTATAACAGAGGCTATCAGGCCATTAGCTTTTCTTATGAATTTTTAATATCAATAAGTTCCTATATATCGCTAAATAAAATAATCGTTTAAGTTCTGATTATTTCATATTTGGGACTTGGGTAAAAAACCATTAAATATTATACTTACTATTGATTAACAAGCTATAACATGGTCTAAATTATCGATAAACAGACAAACAGTTGCTGTACTTCAATCGTGGCTCAAAAGAGACAATGGATTTAATGATTATATAAATTATAATACACGAGTATTGAGTAAAATATAATAATAATATATAGGTAAATAGAGTAATATAGAAAAGAGTAATAAAGTTTTTTAAGGAAAAATAAAATATAGTAAACGGTAACAAGATATTTGATAGTTGATTTATCATACCCTCAGTTATTTTTTTTTCTATATGGACTATGGACTAAAATTTAAAGGGTGAAATTGCAAAATAAGTATTTGTTGGGGATTTTATGCAGCTACTAGTCTCGCTTATCCCGATTAATATAAAAAGAATAAATACTGGGACATGCCTTTTATAATTAAAAAGGTGGGTAAGTGGGTGTCGCTCTGCTGTACAGTAGCTTATACAAGTGGGTCACTGTATAATGGATGGTATTCAATTTGAATTCAATGATATAATATCAACGATTCTGAGCCGTGACGGTTTGTCTGTGTGGATATTTTATATTATATTTATACTGTTATTACATATTATTAATACAGTAGCCGGTAAGTTGAATTTCATATACAATGATATTATATAATTCAATTAAAATTTAACACCATCCATTCCAATGACCCACTTGTGATCCATCCTGTGCAGCAGAAAGGTAATTGCTTTTTTTTTTAATTAATCCTTGTAAACACTTTGAATGACGTAGTGAAATTATGTTTATAATCACAACTTTAATATTTTAATTTGAAGTGGGATTCATTAGCCGCAATACTAATTGACTAGTTTCTTCAATAACACCGCCTATAATATTCTGAGCGGTGATGGTTTGTCTGTGTGGATGTTTTATATTATATACTTATATTGTTATTACTTATTATTAATACGGTAGCCGGTAAGTTGAATTAATATTATAAAATGACAACAAAATAACTAAAATCGTTATTCTTGGTTATTTAAGAGGACGTGATACCCGCATGCATTGTCTCCGTCTTACAAATGTACAACATAGTATAAAACTGTTTGGATAGAACCAGTAACCACTCCCTCGGTATTTATAGAAGAATTACCAAAATTCTACAACACATAGGGAACACATTTATCTGTATCGTAGCCGTTTTTATTATTTGGATAACATAAATAAAACTAAAGTTATCAGTTTGAGAACATAAGGATTTTTTTTGTTTTTTAATTTAATTATTAAAAATTATTGGTGAATGCTATAAAAAAAAAATAAAAACTCTACGACATAGAGAAAGTTGTTCCCTATGCGTTGTGGAATTTTGGTAATTCTACTATAAATACCGAGGGAGTGGTTCTATCCCGCGCAAAACAGTTTTTTGCTATATTGTACATTTGTAAGACAGAGACAACGCATACGGGTATCACGTCCTATATGTAATTTCTTCCAAATTTGAACATAAAATAACTATAAAAAAAACTGTTTTGATATTTTTGATATTTTTTGGTTACAGAATAACATACTTACTTGGAACCTTGAGAATTTTGTAAATTTTCAATCCTTAGCTATAAAAGTTGAACATTGTATTAGATTTTGAAACTTTTTGGCCCAAAAAATAAAATTGTATTGATATTTATAGAACAAAAAAAAAATTTAAAATTAAAATTTAAAATTGTCTGTTAACAGCTCAACACGAGTCAACAAAGTAAAACTATGTTTATAATCACAACTTTAATACTTTTCTTTGAAGTGGGATTCATTAACCCCAATACTAATATTGATTAGTTTCTTCAATAACACCGCCTACAATATTATGTATTATATAGATAATCAGAGTAAAAATTATCTATTATTTAATAGATGCTCGTTTGTTGTTTTTTATCAAGAATATTTTAATTGTAATATTTATATATATATAGAAATAGATAGTATTATTCATAATAATAACAAACCACAAACTCACATACTCGGTGTATTAATATCACAGACTACTGACTAATAATATATTATAAGTTTTTGATTAATATACAGTATACACCTTGATCTAAGTTACATTATACCAATAATTAATAGTGATTTCTTAATTTTTATCATCTAAATTCCAAACTAATTTTCAGTTTTCATGATAAATTATAGAATTATGTCATATTTAATATTATTTACTACCTGTTAAATACATAAACGCTACAATCACCCATGAATTTAAATCTTAGCTGTCAGAGGCCTTTAAAACCTACATTAAAGTGGCTCATTCACTGATGATTTGGGTATGCAATTGCCAAATGAATACCCTATACTCCCCGTGGCTTTACTAATAGTTCTCTTAAAAATCCAAAAAAAAAAAAACAATATTAATATCATATAAATATAGTATTAATATTGCCAAAATTTAACAAGAAACCCGAACAACGTAGTTTTTAAACTATCAAGTACGAAACTTTATTATTTATCTTTAAGACTATACAACATTTTATTATTTTATTTTTAATAAAAACAAGTAAAATATATTTTTCCTCGATGCTTCCACGTTTATGATTTTCATCATGTTTAACTTTTAGTGATGATTAATGAAACTGACAATTGCCTTGTGGTTTTCATTACATCAAGCTTCAAAGTTTGGTATTCTCAATTTCAACAGATTCATTATCGATTTTCTGAGATAGTTTGCTATCTCTGTACATCCAGCTATTTCGAAAATAAAACAAAATATTACTATGAAATCTTTAACTATATTGATAATAGATATTTTTCATTATATTGCAATTATGTATTTTTCTTTACCAATTACATTTTTTCTTCTTCTTTTTTTTTAGTGAGGGGAGTTGGAGATATAATTTTGTTAGAAATTATAGCCTATAACTTATACTTATAGATTAGTTAAGCATTCAAAATTAGAAGATTGACCTGTCAAGTATTATTTTAAATAAACTTATTTCACTTACTTTATAACAATTTATTAGCTTATATTATACAAAAATATTATAAGTTATAATATACCGAAAATTGGAATTAGAAAATCTAAGTTGAAAATTTAACTATGTGATTTAGCCATACAAATCGCTTACATTTATGACGATTACTTACAAGTATATTATAGTCGCCGGTACGGCTAAAGTTGATCCTATTAAACTGTACGCTCCGGGTAACGTGTCCACTGTATGTTTGTAGATCACAGTATATAGAGGGCCGAACAAGGCCGGGACAAGCGATTCGACGATGCTGTAAATAGCCGTAACTTGTCCTATATAAATTATAATATATTAAATTATAATTAAAAATAGTATGTATATTTTAAAATGTATAGAAAAAAAATTATCAAAACACTAAACTTCTTACCTAGTTCATCGGGTTTGACTATTTTTGCCATGATTGATCGCGATGTTATGAAAATTGTGCCTCCCATAATGTCAACTAACGGTCCTGAAATCAAAATTCCTTTTACATTAAGCACATTTTTTTATACCACATTACCATTATGGCAATATACTAGTAAATGTTATTTAGTCATTTAAATTCCATTTGGTTCTCATCGGAACAGCAGATGAGTGTCGTATTATTTAAAAGCAATAATACATTATCTCTTCGTAAAACGATTATAAATAAAGATAATTTAATTTAATTGCTCATTGTATGTATAGTATTATAGTATACTGTATACATATCAGTATGCTGTATGCATAGGCAACAGAATAGTTGCCATTTATCATTAAATTTAAACTTAAATTTAATTAACATGTTTTCATAAATATAAGGTACACACCCAAATAGTATACCCATCCTTCCGTCGCTAAAGCGTAACATATTCCGGCAACAATTTTTCCTGCACATGCTACCACTCCAATTAAGCTATCGTCGATTCTGAGCACACGGCTAAATAAGCCGATGCAAATTGCTGAACCTAAAATATGATGCAATTTCTGTTTTTATAATAAGTCTATTTATACATTCAAATATTCAATATTATGAGATAATATTAAGACATGTAGATAATATAGTATATTGATTTTAATAGACTCGCATAGATTAAACCAAGTATTAAAATAATGATGTAGGTAGTAGGTACCAATTATAGTTTTCCACAGTAGCTACCTACATTATAACTATTCAATACTTAAATACATATTTTTAGATTCTGAGTGAAACGATGAATGTATTGATTTTACAATGATGTGTGTTTTTTTATTTTTTTTTTTATTTTTTTTTTATTTTTTTTTTTATTTTTTTTTATTTTTTTATTTTTGTGTCTGTCATCACGTTTTAGGACAGTAAAAGTGCTTGGATTTTCTTCATCAGTAGCTTTTCTGATAGGAAAGTGAATCTAGTTGGTACTTTGGGGGGTCAAAAGTATAAATTTCCCAGTAGTTTTCACAAGCGCCGGGAAAAACAACATAAAAATTAAGGAAAAACGGGAATTTTTACGCAAAATTGGTTTTCCAAAAAATCGATTTTGGTTTTTGGTGTAACTCTGAAACAAATGAACGTATATACATGAAATTTTCACTGGTTGTTTATATTTGCATTTTCTATACACGATAACATTTTCAAAATATTTTGATTTATTTTGAACTGTTTAGGGACATTTTCATTTTCCATTTTTTTTTAGTTTTTTTTCTAAAAATATCAATAAAATTTTATTTGTTGGTTGCGAAAGCTTGAAAATTTAATAGAAGGCTCCTAATATATTGCTTCAAAGGCAGATGAAAAATATTAAAAATCCTTAGTCACAATTTTTTTTTATAAGCATTTAAAGTTCAAAAATTGACAAAATATGGGAAAATCACGAAAATTAGCAAATTATTTTGAGTTAAGAATTCGTAAAAATTTTTCTTTTTAAATCTAAGATTTGAAAATTAAACACAAGATTCCTTATAAGTTTGTCTACCTTTATCAAAAGAAAAATGTTTATAAGAAAGTCAAATTAAATTTTTATGAGCGTTTGAAATTCAAATTTTTACAACATTGAATATTCACTCGATTTCCCATGTAGCGATTTCCTTATTTTGTTGTAATTCAAAAACAAATAACTGTAGATACATGAAAATTTCACTGAATGTTTAAATTAGCATTTTCTATACACCATACAATTTTGAAAATATTTTGACTCTTTTTGAGCTGTTTATGGACATTTACAGCTTTCAATTTTTTTTAGTTTTTTTTTCTATAAATATCAATAAAGTTTTATCTGTTGGGCCAAAAAGTGTAAAAATTTAATACAAGGCTCCTGATATATTGTTATAATATCAGTTGAAAAATATTAAAAATACATAGGCACAGTTTTTTTTTATAAGCATTTAAAGATCAAATTTTGACAAAATTTATCAAAATCTCGAAAATTATCAATCATTGTAATTAATAAATTATAAAATGTTCAGTTTTTATAGCTAAGGATTGCAAATTCAACACAAAGGTTCTCGTAAATAGTTCATACTGTAACCAAAAAATCTAAAAAATATATGAACACAGTTATTTTTTACAGACATTTTAAATTCAAATTTGGACGAAATTTCATATTAAAAAACCTAGAATAACTATTTTAGTTATTTTGTTGTGATTGAATAATATTATTCGTGGATACTTGAAACTTCTAAAGTGTACTTTTATATATCTATGATAGTATCACGGTTTTTGTTGATGTATAACGCGTTATAAGTACCTAATGGATATTTTGATATGATTAATTTGGAATTTATTATAGGTACCCATTATAGGTCAATTTTTTGTTTAATACCATAGATATGTATATAATATGTCTTATACATAGACTGACATACCGTCTGTGCTCAGAATCGTTTTTCTTATACAATGATATTATATCGTTGAATTCAAATTTAATATCATCCATTATACAGTGACCCACTTGTAACCTACTGTACAGCAGAGCGACACCCACTTGCCCACCTTTTATTCTTTTGAAACTGACGTATTTTGTATTTATATTTATATTTATTTTATTCGTTTAAAACTGACGTATTTTGTATTTATATTTAGTATTTAAATACAATTTTAAAAGTATTTTTCCCATCTTTGTTTACCTCATACAATATAAATATTGAATATACCTTTATTTTATAATATTAATTGAAAGCTTAACTTAATGCTTATCACATGCAATTATCTACTCACCGAACTAATCCAAAAAATCAGGGTTTTAAAATTACCTGCTACACAAGTGATCATAGAGAAAGTAGAAAAAATACTAAAATCAACCTCGTTCCATTTGAATCGGGCACGTGTATTCAAATACGATACGGAAAGATCACCTGTTAAATAATTTTGCAATTTTAGTCTCATTATAATAATAAATATTAAGTTTATTATTATCACGTACTAATATGATAGGTATTCATATTAAGTATTTACAACTTCATTCAATGCAGTGTTAAGTCACTCGTAAGAGTATATAAAATAATATATGAATATGTAAAAAAATAATCTACTAACCGTTTAAAGGTCCCATGATTAAAAACGCAATGCACATTAACATGATTATCTTGAGTTTTCGATTTTGTGGTCCGTCCTTGAACGTGACTTTAAATGCTTCTTGAATGTGTTTTGCGTTAAAAAATCCATTAAACAAACCATTATTTCGTGTCTGTGGTATTGCATTTTCCGGTTTATTTGGTGACACTTCTTTTATAAATACTAGACCATACAGAAGACCTATAATAAATAGGACCGAAGACACACCGTACACACCATAGAAACCCAGCTTCTGAAATGTAATACCAGACAACGCTGTACCGATGGCCATGCCTACTAAGGATAGTATGTTGACTATACCGATTCGTACCGTTTTCGTCTCCTCCTGAAAACGTATTATATTATATACATATGACATATCAGAACTTATATCATTATTATTGGCTGACACTAGGAACAAAAAAAACCGTTTTCAGAAATATCATGAATTGTACTTTACCTTTTATTATAATATGACTTACCATAACACGGCAAAAGGGGGGGGGGTGGGATAAACCACAGTTATATTAAATTGTTTAGTTATGTGTTCGTCCATGCGATCAATATAATTATGTGCCAGTGCCCCAACAATTGAGTGTGCATATATGGTGTGCAAATACACACGGGCTTCTAGTTCTAAACGAATAACAATACCGAAGATACTTGAAATTTTCACCAAAACGTACATTCATTTTAGGTTTGGTTTGGTTGGAGCTATTTATAGAAATTTATTTGAAATTGTTTTGTTTTTTTCCATAAATATAAATAAAAATATTTCGCTGTGTCAAACAACTTAAAAATGAAATAAAAGGTTCATGGTAATTTATTTTAATTTTAGTTTAAATGTATTAAAGTATGCCTGTTATATTCTATATATGTACTTTCACAAGCATGATTTTTTATAAGGTAGAGTTTAAAATTACATTTTTACAAAAATTAATCAAAGTCACAAATATTTTCAAATTATTTGTAGTCAAAAATGTATAAAATGCTTAATTTTTTTAACTAAGGATTAACAATTTAAAACAATAATTCTTATAGGTAGTTAATATTGTAACCAAAAACACTAAAGAATGTATTAACATGGTTATTTTTTATAGACCTTAAGTTCAAATTTGATTGAAATTAGATATTTAAACTAAGAATTACGATGCTGGTTATTTCGTTGTAATTCAAAAACATTACTCTTAGGGACTTATAAAATTTAAAATTGTACTATATTATGCAATGACATTTTAAAAATATTTAGCTTAATTTTAATCTATTATGTATTTCAGTATTTGTACCATGAACCTATTCACACTATTTTGCAGGAACTGGTATTGACTCAAAAATTATTAACAATAATATAAAATGATATAAAATATTTAATTATTTTACAGAGTAGGTATCATTGACGGACCAGGGGAGAAAGGGGGCATTTTCCATTGTTTTACACTGTATTTAGCCAATTTTGGTACTTTTTGTACTTTTGCCCCTCATGCCCCTCCCCCCCCCAAAAAAAATTAAGGCCTGGATCCGCCATTATTAGGTATAGTGTTGATATTGACTTATTGGGATGGTTAATGAAAAGTTATAACTAAAAAAGACAGAAACATTAACTTACTTATTACATTTTAAAAATAACAATAATAATATTAAGTCGAGGCACTGATATTTGAGAAACAAGTTTGCAATAAAAAAACTTTGAAAAGTTAGTTAGTTAGTTTTAACTAGGAAAGAGATTGAAAATAGTTATTAAAACGAAATATATGTCACATAGATTTTTAAGTAGAAGGAGTTTATTCTGACGCGTCAAACCTGACTTTACAATTTATTTAAATGACGATCTATACGTTGAAAAAAAAAATTGGAATGTGTTAATTTTTTTAAACTGATAGGTGCTGGTGACACCTGTTGGAGGATTTTTTATTACATATTTTACTTTGTTTGAATTTCAAGATGATGAGATTTCTGAGTGTACTTCAAAACTAAACTAGATAGTTATCGGCATCGTTGAGTAACAATCAAGTAAAAAAAAAAAAAATTTGAAAATATTAGTTTTAATTAGGAAAGAGATTGAAAATAGTTTTTAAAACGACGTTTATGTTAGCTATATTTTACCATACTAGGATCTACCATTTACAGCGTGTCGTACTAGATTGGGTGTAAGGCTAATATTTTTTATTTATTACAATCTTTATAGTGTTTTTTCCTCGGGAGCAGATGAATGTCGACAATGAAAAACAAATCAACAATAATAATATTATGATGTTGAATATTTTTATCTGATTATCTGATTATCTGATTATCTGAAATGTTATAATTACTGATAACGTTTCTTAACAGTTATAGTAACTTTAAAGTTATGTGTTCGGCGTTCGCCAATGCGTTGAATATAATTTGTCCAAACAAACATGAGAACAGAACTGTATTTTTTTTTACGTTGTTGCAGGGGAATGGAGGCATCCAAGTGTCATCAGCCCTTGGACCCATAGAGATCTTAATTCGGGCTTGATGTAGTCGGGTACTCGGGTATGTTATAAGTGTACAATTTTCTGGTTAAAAGGGGTTAAGTCATTTTTGTCGAAAATAGGGTTATGATGTTGTCACCATACAATTTAAATATGCATTTTCAACAAATAGGTATAACCTCTATCTCAAATCATTAATTACTATTATATGTGATGTTATGATAAATGAGCTATCATGAGATAGCAAAAACCTAATTGTGTTGACTGTTGAGTTATCCTGTTTTAACCATCACTATAGTTTAAATTAAAAAGGTAGGTACCTATATGTTATAACTTCATGGGCAGAGATTGGATTTTTATACAATGGTATATTTTTGAATTTTTATATTTTTGGATTGTTGTTAGTAATCTTTACGAAATTTAATAGTTTCAAGCGAATATCACAACAATTTTGTTTTGCATATTTCGAAAAAATTTAATATTTTTGCATATTAAGTTAAATTTAATTATACACTGTTTTCAAAACCTATAACTAATCAGTTTGTTTGAGCAATTTCATCAAAATAATTATTTGTTTGGTTCAGTTAGTACAAGTATTTAGGTAAAAAAAAAATTTAAGCGTATAAACTTAAAAAAACTATAATTATATAGGTTCATAATTCGAGTTTTAATTAATTTCACTAAAAATATTGTCTGTTTGGCATTAAATACCTAATTAATAATGATAAAATAAACGATTTAATTGTGTAGAGTTCAGGGGTGGCCAACTAGCGTCAAATAAAATAAAACATAATTTTTAAGTATTTTTAAAATTATGTATTTCAATATTACGCCGTAGACTAAAAACAACTGTTTTGTATAGTACCTAATTGTTTTAATTGATTATATATATATTATTTTTTTCACCATTTATTGCATAATAATATTATATGGCATATTGTTAAACTTTTTAGTGCATAAAAATCCGTACTCTTTACACAGGAGAGGTGCAGGTAAACTTACGCCAGTAACGTCGGAGACGTAGCTGAACATCGCGTTGAATAGAACCATCCGGCCACCGGCCAGTGACGTGGGCAACGCCTCGACAACGCCGATCACCTCCATACGGAGCTCGTCGAACCAGTAGACGCAGGCCACTAGGCCAACGATGCGGGCCAGTTCGCTTGCAACGGGTATGATCATGCACGGCACTCGCTTTCGGCGTCGGTCGCTCCAGGACCCGACGAACACGGCCAGCGCGCACGGCACTGTACTCTGGACGACCAGCTGCCACGAGAGCATGTTGGCCACCAGCTGCTGAGTAGCCACCTCGTACCCGTGCAGAGGCTCGCTGGCGTTTGTCTTGGATTTAGCCAGCAGCGCGGCGCACGTGTCGTCGTCAAACTGGAGGTTTACCGAGCACGCCTTCTGCAGGCTCAGGTTCTGCGTGGCCAGCAGCAAGAGAGTTCGGGATACGATGTAACAGCACAACAGAGGTTCCACGTGGATTGCGCTTAGCGCTCGCTTGGTTCGCAACCAGGTGGTCTCCTGCATGTCCACCGGCGTGTCACCTTTCCGGTCACATGAGTCCTTAGGCATGTCGGTGCGCGATGCTGCAGGTTGTTCACCGTTCGTTTTCCTTTCTTGGTCGTCTGCTGTCATGGCTCCCACGTTTAACCACCCTGAAAACCTGTACGAAATACGTGGTCAAATGATATAGATAGGTTGACGACGGAATTGTAGCAATACTATCCATACCGGTATGGTACAATGTGTATGGAATGTTCCTCTACTATAGCTACAATCATTCAATATTATGCGACTGGCTATCACATATACGTTTTATTCATAATATGGCTGTAAAGTGTATTGGTGGAAAAAGAAAATTTATGGTTATAGACATCCACCAATTTACTATTTGGAGGAAAAGGGAAAGGTATACTGCTGGTGGAAACCGGTAAATGCGCATTCACAGCTACTTCGTGTGTCGTGTCGTGCAAGGGCCATTGATAATCATATGTCTTAAAAGTTTAGCTGTAGTCAATTATTGGTATACTTGGTTACAATTTGGTTATTACATGATACCTAAAATGTAATATCCAATCACAATTATACGATTCGATCGACAGCAGGAAACGACACACAAAAAAAATTCGGCTTAGGGGGGGGGTTCACACTACACCGTGTCGTGTAAAATAATCACGGTTACCACAGTTACCAAACGATACCGCATAGTTGAATATATTCAACTTTTTACCGTGTGGTTACATTTATGTGCAGATAAAGCCGGGTTCATACTTAATGTAACCACACGTTCAAAAGTTTAATATATTCAACTATGCGGTATCGTTTGGTAACTGAGGTAACCGTGATTATATTACACGCCACGGTGTAGTGTGAACCCGCCTTTAAACTCCCATTTGAGCAATAAACGGTATACCGTTACGTGGTATATGGTAACTATTAAAACTTTCTGTAATTCTGTGTCTCTGGTACGATGTATCAGTATCGGATTAATATCAAATGAAGGAATATGAGAGCAATTTTATGTTAATAATATTACAGACGTGACACTTAGTAGTTATACCGATAGCAATTTAACGTATATTTAAATAAATTGTTAATGATATAATATATTTTACTTAACCGATAACCTGGTAGCGAATAGCGACACGAAGCAAGCGATGAAACGAGACTAGTTCGACACACGTATAATCGTATCACATAGTATCACGTATGATATTATCATCTTGCAGGTTGAAGAATAATTTATTATTATACAATATGTTGTCAATTAATCAAAATAGGTAATTATACACCTGTATGCGGGATTCCATGATAGTACAGAACAATTAATGTAAGATGACACCACACGTGTCTGGGATATTAATATGTTATTACTTATAATAACACGATATAATACGATATAAACTGGTACTGTATAGTTGTGTTTCACAGTTAGATTCACCACGGATATCGAATAAATTGACAGCAAAAGGTTAATTATTTATAAACGGAACTGTTTATTTCAAAGAACACTAAAGTTTTTGAAAATATTCCTTTTAAATAATTTTAAGTCGTTACTATAAACAACAATTTTAAGGAAAATTTTATGTTTTACCGTTTATCATTATGTAAGCTTTTTATTCTTTTGGATGACAATATTCATTTTTAATTTCATGTTCCGAAGCAGAATATTAGTTTACAATCTATAAAAATCAAATTTCAGACATGTAGTTTATTAATTTGTAAGTGTTTAAAGTTGTGATGAGCGGAGTAATGAGTAGTGGACCAATACCCCTGTAACTTTAAATACTTGTAATTCAGAAATTAGTCCGAAATTCAATTTTTGGGGTTTTATCGACTCCGCCGTTTTAATATCAATTCCACCGGCTATCGATTCCGCCGGATATTTGTTTATATTGATTCCGCCGACTATCGATTCCGCCAGTTATTTATTTATGTTGATTTATGTTTTAAATTTATGTTTTGTATTATGTATGTAACCAAAGTATCATATTGTACAGAATTTTTTTTTTAATTAACAGCATAGGTTAGGTACACTTAGTATAAAGTAAGTTTTATATAAATAAAAATATTGTCGTCTATGACGGATAATATTTATTAAAATAATAAAATAATATAACTCAAATATCTAGTGATTATTATTTTTAAAAAATGAAGTAAGATCGTAATATTTTTAAATAGAGTTATATTATATAATGTGGTCAATTTTTAAAATAATTAACAGTATAGGTTAGGGTACACTTAGTTTTCCATAATAGTATAAATTAAGTTTTATTTGAATAAAAACAATTCAAACATTGTCGTCCAAAACAGATAATAATATATATTAAAATAATAAAATAATATAACTCATATATCTAGTACATATATCTAGTTTTACAAAATGAAGTAAGATCGTCATATTTTTAAATAATTAATTAATAATAATAATTCCGTATTATGGTAAGGTAAAAAAAAATTAAACAATACAAATATATACAAATTGGTCATTTATATAAGTGAATCTATCAATTTTTTTATTTATATAATCGTCAAAAATGTTTGCTATATGATTTTTACTTTTACATATTTTTTTGTTGTTTAGTCCTCTTATTATTATATACGAATTAGTTTGTATTGTAGTTTGTAACTTATATGTTCATTGTTCGTGTATTATTCTACTTCAACTTATTTTGTTACGAGTTAACTACAAATTACAGTAAGTTATAGTGTGTACCTACTAATGAAATAAAATATATTTTAACATAAATGTAAACATAAGCCTTTTACATGTTGTTATTACTGTATAATGTAAGAAAATTCGGAGGAATCAATATGTAAAAAAGTTCGGCGGAGTCGATAGCCGGCGGAATCGATACGTAAAAAAGTTCGGCGGAGTTGATACGCGGCGCAATCGATAGATTTTTTACAGGTAAAAAGGTAATTTCGGCGCAATCGATATACGCCCCAATTTTTATATTGTAATAATTTAAAAAATATTCAGCTTTAGGATAAGAAATTAAAAATGCATGGTGTAGTAAAAAAATTAAAATGTTTAAACGTTGGTTTACGACTTAAAATTATCTAAAAATATACTTTCAAATTAAAAACGTTAATAGGTATTTTTTGAAATAATGAGTATTTGAAATTGTGTAGATAATCTGGTTGATATATAAAATGTTCATAACAGTAAATAAGAATAACTACCTATACTATTTAGTATTTACTTAAATCACATTTCATTTTTGATTTTACGTTACATAATGTTACATAATGTTACATAATGTATGTATTTTATTCTAGACACAATTTTCTATTTAGTTTAATCTTGATTTAGAAAATTAAACATGAATACCTGACAAATAAAATAATTTTTGTTCTAATTAATGTTTTAAAAGTGTTTTTATTAATCATTTATAGACGTTTGCATAACATATTTATTTGTATTTTTAAAAAGTTCTGAAAATAAAAATTCAAAATAGTCACTTTGTAAATTGTATTTTAGAAAACCGTTGATTTTAAAAACATTTATCAAAGTTAATTTATAAAAGTTTTTTGAAATCTCGTTTATTTGTATTATCTAAAGTTGATTCATTCATAAAAACATTTAAATTTAAAAAGTATAAACTTCTTTTTTGAATATTTTATGATCATGTTTACCATGTACTTGTTACAATCTAAATATTTTTCAAAAAGTTATTACTTTTCAAATTAATAGGACTCTTTAATTAATAAGTTCAAAATAATGTTACATTTTAAATAATAATGAAAAATAAAACCAATTTACTTACATAAATATTTTTATAATCATAAGTTTTTCAAAAACCAGATTTACAAATTTGGTGTATTGAAAATTTTTATTTTCGGTATTAAAAAATAAACGTGTAACGCACGCATGAGTCAATAACATAAAATATTAAATATAAAAAACATTTTACCTATTGATTTGAACAAAACGTCGTTGACACGAAAAAACCTCCCATGTACTTAAACCTAATTTTTCAGGAGAGACGAAAAACGTTTTAAAAAATCACAAATCATCAATGATTAATGAAAATACATTTGAAAAACGTAATAAAATATACATTTCTATTCTGAAAAAAATTGAAGTATAAAATATATATATATATATGTATTTATTGTACAAATTGTCAATATTTCATCACATAGGAGGTAATGTTAATCATTTTTTTTTGCCAAACAGTACATAGAAGGTTATGTTAATTAATCTTTTTTGCCAAACAGTACATAGGATATTATGTTAATCAATCTTTTTTGCCAAACAGTAGAAAGGAGGTTATTTGAATAATAGTTGGTGCCAGAGTAATAATAATAAAACTTATTTTGAACGATTTTATAAAAAAAAAACTAAGTTGTGTTATCTAAGAAATAAATATTTATTAACAATTAATTATAATTGTATAAAATACTTAACATAATAAAACAAAATAACTTTAAACTTTATATTTATAATATTATCAATGTACTAACAAAACATAATTGCTAACTTTTATAAATTATAACTAATTATAAAATGTAAAACATTACAACAAAAAAAAACAATAAAAAATAGTTAACCACTTTTTCAGTCCTGATAATAAAATAAAAAACAAGTTATAGTTACTCAAAATACTTAAAATATACTTTTTAGAATTATAACATATAAGGTAAAAGTTAAAAAGTGGATGTCGCTCTGCTGTACAGTAGGTTACAAGTGGGTCACTGTATAATGGATGCTTTTAAATTTGAATTCAATGATACAATATCATTGTATAAGAAAAACGATTCTGAGCGAAGACGGTATGTTAGTCTAGGTTTAAGACAAATTATATACATATCTATGGTATTAAAAAAAAATTGACCTAAAATAAATTCCAAATTAATCATATCACAATATCCATTAGGTACTTATAACACGTTATACACCAACAACAAACCCTGATACTATCATATATATATAATAGTACACTTTAGAAGTTTCAAGTAGGTACCCACGAATAATATTATATAATCACAACAAAATAACTAGGTTTTTTAATATGTAATTTCGTCCAAATTTGAACATAAAATGACTATAAAAATAAACTGTGATTGTATATTTTTTAGATTTTTCGGTAAGAGAATTAACTACTTACGTGGAATCTTGTTTTAAATTT